TTAAGATAATTATGAAATATTAAAAAATTACTGAGACCCGATGGTTAATACTTAGCGTAAAATGGTGACTTCGCATCTCTTTCAACGGTTTGGCTCTCTCTCTCTCTCTCTCTCTCTCTCTTTCTTTTCATTCCGTGCTCTTTGAGGTTAAAGTTGACGCTCAACTAACGTGGCAGCGTGTAAGGTTAAGGATTGGTTTTCTGAATGACTTGTGGGCGGATAAAAGAAAGATAAGGGATGATTTCCTAACAGGAGGCCCTACATCCAGACAATAAAAGAAACTACGAGTAAAGGTGAGCAGACTTTCACTTGATTTATTTATGGGTTGATTCATGATTTGCCTCAACATGTTTAGTTACATTTTCTGATGTAGGTTGCCAACCGAGTAATTTTTTTTTTTTTTTTTTTTTTTTTTTTTCTTTTTCTCCACTTTGAATTGTCATGTCTAATATTGATATTAGTAGGGGTTAGTTAGGTTAATCACCCTGGACTTTACCTTGTTTTTTTAACACTTGATGTCTTCAGTTCTTAAAAATCTACAGTTTTCTCCAATATTATAGTTATCCCTTTCCTCTCAAAGAAAAAAACAAATGAATTATCCCTTCAATTAGTCAACCATTAGATGATTTTTTGCAAACTCATCCTATTATCTTAAAAATCCAAAAAAAAAAAAAAAAAAAACTCTTCATAATTATCTCTTTGAAATCATTTCATCTCCTAAATTAGACTCTACCCATGATCCATTATGTTTGCAAACTCGTACTTGGCCAAGATATACAATTTTATTTCATTTAAGCTATTTTTTTTTTTCCATATAATATCAATTTGATTGTATTTAAAAAATATTAATTTGGTAAAAGAAAAGACATAGTCGAACGTTAACTTTGTCTTATTTAGTTCTTATTTTGGATTAGTATGTGTCTAAACACATAGTGAGAGAGTAGTTGAACAATTCCATAATTTTTTTTTTTTGAGTTTTTAAAGTTTTTAATTAACAACAAGGATGTACATATAATTTTAAAACAAAGGGTGGTGGTAAATATATGTTAGCCTAAACTAGAAGTTGGATGGGGAAATTCACACTTAATTATCATTAGCCTTCAATTAAAGCGGTATAACATCCCCCACTTTGTGGGGTTTAAATTTGGGATTCAAACTCTAGGGCATGTCATGGAATTAGAGGGGAAGAAAAGAGAACAGGGAAAGAGATGGGTTGTGGTGGGAAGAGGATACAAGGATGAGAATTTAGATTTTTTTATCGGATTGATTTAATTTTTTCCTATTCAATTCTGACTTCAAAGATTGTAATATTTATAGAGAAGAAATAGAGGGTAGGTTACAGTTTAATTACTTTTTTTTTGCTTTTACTTCCAAAATAAAATTCTCAAAAAGGAAATATCTCTTCCCTCTATTCCTCTCCATTTACCTCCATTAAAGCATAACCTTAAACTTTGTAACTTTATGAAATTATGAGTTTGAAGTGGGCAGAAAACTAACACATTATAAGTTCATTTGCTTTAAATTTAGGTTCAAGGAATTCGCCATTATTGCTGCAAAGGAATGGAATCGTCACTGAGAATTTTTTTCTTCTTTTTTTTTTTAAAAAAGTAAACCGATTTAGTCGACAATAGACACAGTGTCTGATGCCTTTACCTTATGTCTCTATTTTGTCCACGATGGTAACATGTCCTTGGGTCTGCTAGGTGTTGCTTCTACTATTATTCTTGTTTTTTTTTTGTTTTTCTTAATTAAAAAAAAAAACACTGATTCTATTTAGTGGTTTTGGTAGAATTAACTATGCTCAAGGAGCAAATATTTTTTACTTCTTTCTACCCAAAAGTTACAGAAACAGTTAATGAATTTTTATCATCATATATATATATATATATGTTTGTAAAATTTGATGGGTATATTAGTTTTTATTTTAATTTATTTTCAGATGTTTTTAAAATGTAACTTAGTTATGTCGTTTTTAAAGTATCTTCAAAAATATTGTCGTCAAATATTAATGTTATCCAACATATAATTTCACAACAATTAACAAAATCAGTTTCTCAAACTCACAAGTTATAATTATTTTTAGTTGCAGTTTGTTTTTGTAAGTAATTATTTTCCAAAAGAGATTGGGAGTGAGGGTAAGATGGCTTCCAATGTGCATATGACAGTAACCTTCATGGCTGCAATTTTCAAGCTACCTTGTTGAGGAAGGAAAGATGATATAACAGTAACTTTTATACAAAGGACAAGATAATAGAAGTTTCATCTCAAATAAAAATAAGATCATTTACACCCAAATGCTTGACTTACAGTATGAAAATATCATCAGCCTCTGGGGACAACAGAAAAAACATATATATATATATATATATATATACACATACATACATGTACGTACACAGAGATCCGCAGACAAATGGATCCAAAAGATGCATGCTCAATCGAGATGGGAGGAAGAAGAGGTCTTAAGAAGAATGCCTTGTATAAGACTTTTGGAAATTTAGGAAAATTACAAACTTTTTTTTTTTGTTTTGTTTTCTTTTTTCATTTAACAAATTCAAATTAAAATAATTATTATGCGTAGGTTAATAACACGTGTCAAAAAATTTTATACGTGACGTATGAATTCACATGGTTAATTATTAATTATGAAAAAGAATTAATTTAGTCGTTATTTCAAAGTATATATACTAAATTATATAAAAATTAAAATTGAGACGTGAATCAAATTTAATAAAAATAAATAGTAAATATATTAAATTAATATTTTTTTATATTAAATATCACTCAAGACACTAGCAAAAAATAATAATAATAATATAATTTCACTCATGGTGAATTGGTTTTATTATTAGTTTTTGTCATAATTAATATTGATTACTAAGTTATTTTACATTTTTATATATAATTATTAATCGTAAAAGAATATTTATATGTGTTTGTACTTTTAAATTAAAAGTATAAAAGTAATAGTGTTATATGAAATGATAAAACAATAAATTGTGAAAATATTTTAAAATTTAAAATTATTATTAAAGAAAACTTGATGATTAAAATTATAATTCATCTTCTCGTAATAATTCAAGTTAGGGAGATGACATTGGTTACTAACCAACAAAACTCTATTTTGCCAGGGAACAAAATTGCAAAATAATAAATAAAAACAGTAAAATTAAATAGTTATTATTTTATATGGTGTAATAATAAATTGTATTATTATTGATATGTAAATAATATTATGTAAAATTTTATTTTTAAAAAATAAATAAACAAGTAAACAATTTGGGTGTGAACTTGTAGTCGTCGCCCACGGACTGAGAAACTGAGATTCAATTATTTATATTATAATTAAAATTAAAAAAAAAAAAGTAAATAGCCCTCGTGGGTTATTAGTCTTGGGACCCACCTACTAGATATTTGAAGATATCACCGTAGAGAAATGGGCCCCATCCCCTTAATTTCATTTTCAGACTTCCAGAATTTTCCTTTCTCCCCATCAATTTTTATTTTTTCTTTTCCGGAAAATATCTTCAATAGCGAATTACTATAAAATTTATTTAATTAATTAAAAATATCTTCTTGTTTTACATTAGATAATTGAAAATGACAAATTATAAGTTAATTAATTAATTAATTCTGATGTAGCTCATAACATTTTTATCACATATGGAAAAATTTTTTATAACAATTATAAAATTCAATAAATTGGGCTTTAATTATATGTGTTAAAATGAAAAATATCTAAAGGCAGAGAAAGCTTTTCAATTTCTTAATGAGTATAAAAAATAAAGTAGAAATAGAAAAATAAGAAAGGGACCCGACGTGGGGGCAGCATTCGTATTTAATGCTGCCACATGAACTTTATCCTAACAAGCGAACATAGACAGATACATATAAAATATGTACATAAAGCCCAAAATATGCAGCACATAATTTAAAAATTAAGAAAAATAAAAATAATTTAATTTTTTGTTACATAATTTTCAATGTGACAAAAATTACGAGTCCAATGAATATTCTCCTTTTGAATTAACAACATGGTCAAATGTCAATTTGGCCGTTTTAAAAAAGTCAATTTCTCTCGGCGTAATTTAATTTCATAAATGAAAGGTAAATATATAATTTTTATTCAGTTATAATTAATGCAGATATAAAATTATTAAAAATATTTGTAATTTTTAATTAAAATAAATTAGAGCGTATTTTATCCTAAATTTCATGTTAATATATAACTGTGATTTGGTTTTATCTTTTTTAAGCTAATACTATATCATAAAAATTTCAAAAATAAATTTTTTTTCTTTGGTGAATATGTTAATTTCTACAATGATATTTTATTTTTAATTAAAAATTAAAAACGTTATCGTAGAAACCGAGAAGATGTATAATAATACGAATAATAACAATAATTCCATTTGTCATTTTTCTTCTTCTCCTTTCTGATAAACATCCCCCCTGTCTCCAACAGAAGCCTAACCCCTCCACACCTCTGCACTCGTTCAAACCATTACCAGACACAACCATTTCACCGCTTTTATCCCTAATCCCCATATTCCTGATGATAGCGATTCCACACTGATATGGCGATAACCAGCATAATCCACGAGATGAGGTTCAGGCCGCACCGGGTCGTCCAGGATACCACCGACCCGGCCGCCACCCAGGGCCACGGCAGTTCCCTCTGGGCTAACCTTCCCCAGGAGCTTCTGAGGGAAGTGTTGTTGAAAGTGGAGGCATCGGAGAGCAGCTGGCCTCCTCGGAAAAGTGTGGTGGCCTGCGCCGGCGTTTGCCGGAGCTGGCGTATCATCACCAAAGAGATCGTCAAAGTTCCTGAACTCTCCGCTAAGTTGACCTTCCCAATCTCCCTCAAACAGGTATCTACTCCGTGCACACAGGCTTTTGCATATACATATACACGTATGTTTTCTGGTTGTGTTTATTGTGTATTCTATGTTTGTGCTCTTGTGTACGCGTGCCTTTTTGCTGAAACTGATGGGTGTTTTGCTTGCTTACAATTATGTTTTGTGCTTTGAAAATTTAGAGCGTCAATGTAACCTTTCTCTTCTGGTTCAGCTGAATTGAATTCTACTTTTTCTGAATCCTTTTCCTTGGTGGTGATTTTAGGGGTAGCTGTCAATAATAGACACTTGATGCTTGCTAATCTTAACTAGATAGGGCCTAGGTTTGCATATTAGGAAAAGTTTTGGGGAGGATTTGATTTGTCTGGTTTAAGAAACTTCATTCTTTGTTCCAATATGGCGCCGGGATATGTTCCAAATCCATTTACCTACACTTAGATTGGTCTTAGTGAGACGTGGGTGGATCTGGGACCAGCATGACTATTTCTCAATCATTTTAAGCTTTACAGAGGAAGTTGCCTAAAAAACTTCCAGTGGAAGTAGTGCATGCTCTTTTTAGGGACCACCCTTTAACAATTGAAATACAGGTCCACTCTAACCTTTTTATCAGCCTTCTTGAATGTTGATATTTTCTTTCTCAACCTTTTCTCTAAGTGCTCTTATTTTACTTGATCACTTAGACTAAGAGGATCTTTTTTGTAAACACTTTTTTGAGCAGAAAAGCGAAAGAAAGCAATAACTTCATTGAAAATGCAATAACTGCTTTTTTTTCTTTTTTCAGGAAGCACTTTGGTTAACAACAAAAAACTTCTATTTTTATTATTATATCAAATTATTTAATGTTTTTTAATTAAATTAATTAGTCGAATTAAGTTGCAGCATGTATCAAATAATTTTTACCAGAATGCAACGAGTACTTAAGTACTCGGGTTAACAATGCAAACCTCTAGTTTTACCTTCATATCAATTTTTAGTTCAATCAATTAGTTTATGAATTTATAGAATGTATCAAATAGCATTACTGAAAAAGTAAAGGGAAAGAATGTGTCTCAATTGTGCGGTCACGAAAAGAATGAAAAAAGATATATTAAGATATGACTACTCTTAACATTGTTAGAACTTAGCATATTTTGTTATCTTATGGTGTTATTTCATATTTTTTACAAATCTATAATGCTGATTGAAAATAAGAGTAAGAATGACTAAAACTTAAACATATTTTATTATCTCATGGTATTATTTGATATATCTTGTATATCAATGAAACTAAGTTGATTCAATTGAGATAAGTCAGCAATTTGATATAATCGGAAATCACAAATAACAAAAATGAGAGTGGCTTTATGATCTTTAATTCTAAGCACTTGTGTCTAAAGATGTCATTGTTTGTAGTTTAAATAATCACTTAGTGCTTTAAGTTGCTCTCAACACTCACAAACACCTTCATAGATGCTGTGTCTATATGACAGATGCTATATGTAAATTGTGTTGGTTGTTGATCATAGTATATTGTTCCTTTGGCCTTGTAGCACACCTTGTAGTTTTTCAAGTATTACATCTCAAAGCATTTTAGTTTGAATTTGTGATCAGCCTGTTGGCTTCTTCCTCTACCATCCAAAATTCTGCATTTATAAAAATCTTTGCTTACTTTTTGCAGCCTGGTCCAAGAGATTCTCTGCTCCAGTGCTTTATAAAGCGCAACCGTTCGACCCATACATACTATCTTTACCTCGGCTTAACTAATGGTGAGCATCTGGCATCTTGATATGGCCTCATTTTCCTTTTTTCTGTTTTTCCAGGCTTCTAACATATGAAGGTAGAATTATTTTTAAATGTGAATTGTGTTTTGAGATTATTCTACTTGTATCTGATTGGTTACGA